TCTCCTCTTATTCTTGATCCATTGGGTAATTTAACTTCATTTACTCCTACCATCTGCAAAGCTAATGCTATCTTAATGCTATCATGTCCAAATATAGTGGGTGCTATAGATTTAAACTTTAATACTGATTCAGCTAATAAAGAAATTTTTCAATATCACTTTCTTCATTTCCATATTCAAACTCATCTATTTTAATTCATTCAATACTATTAATTACTATAACTATTCTAAACTTAGATGGTACCTCATGTGATAATCCATGCAATGTTTTATAAATTCCATATGCTTTTATTCTATCACCTGGTTTGACACTATCAGCTAAATCTTAATGACAAACACAGTCCAAACATCTTGGCAGCTGACCTGCTGAAGCATTCTCCGGCATTTCCTGTAAAACAATTATTTGAAAATCTTTATAAATGCTAAGGCCATATTCCGGTATTAGTGTTCTATCCTCAAAGTTGATAGGATAAGTTGTATCTGTCACATGCATTCTTTCTATAATTGTACCATCTCTATGTTCTTTTTCTAAAAACAGATTTTTAATTTCATGATAGTGAACATTTGTTCTTAGCTTAAGTCCAACATGTGATACACTAGTAATAATACCCTCACAATACACCATCTTTTTTAAATAAGATGAGTTGATGTTTTTAAGTGTGCAAAAATATGTTTCAAAAGCTCATTAAATCCCAATGGTCGCCTTTTAACTTCATGCTCGGCCATGAGAATGAATCGCTTTAGATTACACAAAATAAATTCATATAACTCTTTACTATGTCTTCTAATATCATTCGTACATAATATTACCCTCTTCATATTATCTGTTTTATTAAATTGAAAGATACTCCTTAAATTGCTAATTAGCTTTCTATTATCAATCATTAAAATTTGTATTAAAATTTTTTTGTCACTAGATACATTAAACCATTGATAGTTAGAAAATATACACTATAAATATCTGTACCGTTTAATCTGTGAAGGATAGAAAGGTATATTTTGAAACAAAAAACTTCTAATAGTGTGATGGTTGACATCATATATTTGAAACAAAACAATTTCAAATGGTATATAAATTCCAAATTAAGTAAAAAATATAATGTTTAAAAAAGATTTTAATTTTAATAAAGCAACAGATGAAGGTAGACAGGGCAAATAGATAAATTAAGTTTCTAAAAAATATAAAATATTTTTCAAAGAGATTAAGTGTTTTAAGATAAAAAATTTTATATTTTTAAATTCATATTTAAGCTCACTTACACCTTTATAACATGAAATATAATTTTAATGACCAGAAAAACCTCCTTCATCAAATGTATTCACAAATTTAATTTTTAATTATATTTGTTGACTAGATCATATTCTAACTCGTTCTTTACTTTATGCTAATTATCTAATTCATTCATTTTCTATAGTTATTCCTGTGTATTAACTATGTTTTCTGATGTATAATTTTATTTATCATCAATTTATTTAAAATTTAGGTTAAAAATAATTTTCTTTAAATAATCTCTTAATTAGTTATAAATTTAATTGTTTTAACTAAAACTTCTGTTAATAATGTTTTTCATTAAATTAATGTTTCAATTACTTTCATCTTTAAATATTTCATGATAATTTTTCTTTCGTTTCACAATAAACTATTTTCATTAAAAACAGATGAGGTTTATGTATTTTAAATAAAGGTGAAAAAAAAATAAAATCATCATCTTTATATGTTTTACAGGTATACATTTATTAATAATAGAGTGTTTCTTTGAATACTTAGATACATCTTCAATATAAAATTTTTTAGTTTAAAATAATATTTATTTAAAAAAATTAAAAATATACTTTTAAAGTAAAATATTTTATTTATTTAACTTTTTTAATTCTTCTTTGACTAATTCAATTGTATTAAAAGGCCCTGTAGTAAATATTCCTTTTACACGTTCATGATTAAAAATTTCATAATCATTCCCACCTTTTTCTACTTTATCACCAAAGAAAATAATTGTTTCTTGTTTAATATGTTGTAAACAGTATCTCTTATCCCAGCCTTTAGGAAAAATATCAATTGATATCTGACCTCCTATTGAACATTGTACACCAATATCATCACAAACACCTTTAATCTTACTTACCAATTTTTCTCTAGATTTTTCTTTTTTATCAAATTCAAAGAAATCCTCCCTCTCTTTCTGTGAACAACTCCTTCCAATTGGACTAACATTAAGCATTGATCTTCTAGATTCAATAAATGTACCTCTTAATACAGTACTTTTTACCTCACTAAGTGCCTTGAATATACTATTTATTAATTTTGTATTATTACTTTCACCTATCTCCTCTATCATGCTATTACTTGATACTAGCTCACCATTCCTAAAGAATTGTACTCCATTTTCAGGAAATTCATAATCAAATAAATCATGAATGTTTTCTCCTAACTGTTCCTTTTGTTTTGGTAAATCAGATCCTCCTACAAATGCAGTAAATACTTTCTCTTTTAGTTTCTTTAACATTTCTATTATCTCCTTTGGTGCCTTCTGTCTACTTTCAGTAAGTGTACCATCTACATCAAATAAAAATAAAATATTCTCATCTTTTTCAATTATATCTTCCTTCATATTAATTAACAATAAAAAATTAATTTTTTATTTATTTAAATTTAACTTTAAATTAAAAGTTATGACAGCTGAAACAATTTAAATTATTTAAAGTTAAAATCAGTTAATAAAATTTTATTTACAGTTTATAAACAGTTTTAGCTATGATGTAGAAAATAACAACACCAATGAGAATAATAAACGATGCGGTTAAAAGACAAGAAATACATTTCAAACATAAAATGAAATTTTCACAATTCAAGTAACGTCTTCTTTCATCTTCAATGCTGGTTATTTCTAATTTAAAATTCCTTGATTCATTTGATTCTTCATCTTGAATATCAATTACAACTGAATTACAATCTTTATAATTACTACATTCCGTTTTATTAGAATTGTTACTTTCCGTTTGATTAGAACTACTACTTTCTGTTGTATTAAAATCATCCATTTCTATTGTATCAGAATCATATGTAGCACCTAAAATAGAATTTAGAATTTTTAATACGTTCATTGGGTAAAAATTAATTTTTTTTTACAAAGTTAATATCACTTAAAAATATTATCAATTCTATTATAGAAACATTTTATAAATTATAAATATTTTCGTTTGATAAAAAATTAATTAGTTTTTTTGAGTAAATTAAAAATTTATATATAAATTGATATATGTGAATTATCTATCAACAATAGAATTTATAGATAAATTAACTTATTTTATATTGTTTTTGTAATCAACATTTAATATTTTAAAAACACTTTATTATTTCCACAACAATTATAAAAATTTCAATTCTTAACAATCATTTGATTAACTAACTAACTTGTTTGATAAACACTAACAAATTATTTTTTAAAAAAAATTTAACCCATCATGGTAAGATTATTGTATAAAGAAAAGGAAGTAATACTTCCAGAAAATTGTTCAGTTGAATTGAATAACAAGATATTTACATTTAAAGGACCATTAGGAGAGCAGAATTACGATGCTTCTAAGTATAAGTTCACTTTTGAGTTAGATGATAATAAAATCTTAATTAAGAGTTGGCATGGTAATAAGAAGAAGAATTCACTTCTTAATACACTTAGTTCACATTTACTTAATAATGCAAATGGTGTGGTTAAAGGATTTAAGTATACTCTTAGAACTGTATACAAACACTTCCCAATCCAATTAGTTATTGAAGAAAATGGTAAAGTTGTTACAGTTAAAAACTTCTTGGGTGCTAAAGTACCAAGATCTTTTAAGTTAATTGGTTCAGCAATAGCATCTCAAGGTGAAACTAAAGACTTTATTGAAATTTCTGGAATTAACTTAGAACATGTTAGTCAGTCAGCTGCTAATTTAATTGATGACTGTCAAAGAAGAAAAAATAATGATTCAAGAATTTTCTTAGATGGTATTTACAAGATCAACAAAGGAGTAATTAAATCTGAATAAATTTATTTGAAATTAATTGAATTCTAATTGAGTGTTTTTAGCTTTCTTGGCTTTAATTTTACTGTTAAGAATTTTTTCTCTATTAATGACTGATTCACTATCTCTATGTAACAACTTTTCATTTTTTCTAATAAATTCTAAATCATTCTCTTTAGACTTTTCCTGTGCTGCTAGTATTCTGTTTCTAATAAAAGCATCCTCAATAAACTGTCTTGTATTTTGTATATTTGGTATAGCATTTATAGTTTCTATCATTCTATTCCTATCATACATGTCAACTGTATCACATTTCTTTTCATATTCATAAATTGGATGTTCAGCAATTTCTTTGTTATGTATTTTTCTATAGATTTTAGTCCATCTTACTTTTCTTGGATTAAGTCTCTTCTTGAACAGTTTAATGCATTTAGATCTACAAAATCTGAAAGCTGTTCCATCATTTCTTACAAATTTAATTCCATTTGCTGGATAAATATTTGCTGAACAAAACCAACATTTTTCGATTCTCATATTTATGGGTGAAAATTTTTTATTAAAAAATAATCATTTTATTTAATTATTAAAAATTGTAAGTATTTAATATTTAGATAAGTAACTATGTTTTATTAATTTTAGAATTTTTTTACTATAAAAAACTATTTTAGAGTATTTAAATATTTTCTAAATAGCTCAAATTTAATAAAATAAGATAATTTTTTATAAAGAAAATCAAAATCTTTATTATCTTAATTTTTATTCCTGTCTATTTTTAAATATCTATAATAAATAACACAATTTAATAAAGAAACTATGTTCTTTAATGCCGACAATTATAATTATATGATTTGTTTTATAAATGTTTGTTAAAAAGAGTGTTTTTAATTAAATAAAAGTAATTAAGTTATAACATTGAAGAATGAAATCATTTTTTACAAGTTTTTATTTTATCCTCTAAATTCATCAGGTTGAATCCCAACATGGTTTAAAATACCTAAGAAATTATTTTATAAAACTCTCAATTAATTAATAAACAAGAAAAATTTATTAAACAAACTAAAATTTGAAAGACTATAGGAGCGTAAAAAAAACACATTACCAAACACAGACAATTATTTTAAGTATAAATATGTTTTAAAAACCTATCAACTTATATTTTTATCATAAAATATATTAAATTAAATAAAGTTTTTATCTAAATCCAAAAACAAACATAGTTAACATTACAAAATTCATTTCTAACTAATATACATTTAATATGTTATTTTCTTTGTTAATATTTTAAACAATTATTTTACATAGAAGTAATAGTATTCTTTGGTTTAACTCTTATAAAAAATAATCATACAATAAATTTAACATTTAAATAAAACTCATTATTAATAACAGTGTTTATTGTCACAAGAAATTACATTATTTTATATAAAAATTTTATGATTAAAGTATAATTTTATAAAAATATTTAATTAATAAATCTCTTAGAATAACTTAAAAGGTTATCAAAGAATTCAGGATTAGAAATAAAGTATGATTTAAATTCATTATAATCATCAGAATTCAAATTACCATCTTTTAAATTTAATAAAACTTCATTAAATAAATTAATTTCTTCAATAAGTGGTTTATCTAATTCAACTAAGTTATTTCTATTAATTAAACCAATAATATTGTTAATTAATTTAATCTTATCTTTTAACAATCTTTTAAAATCATAATTCACACATTCATTAAATAAATTAACTAACTCAACTAACTTACTTTTAAATTCACAACTACTAATATACTTAATATCATTATTCTTTGATAAGTAAAATTCAATAATTTCATATAAAACTTTCCTATTTTTAATACTTTCATTCTCAGACTTAATTCTCTCTTCAGGTGTAACTATAAAAAATTCATTTAATAACACCATTATTACAATAACAATACCTACTAACACAACAAATATCCCAGTATATAAGTTTTTATTGTTTTTCATGAGGAGGTAAAATTAATTATTTTTATCATTAAATGTTAAAAATTAAAACAAAAGAATTTGGCAAGATATTAAAAGTAAACAATTTAATAAACACAGATTTAATAATACAATCAGTAGACTTAAACCTTGATATACCTAAATCACAAAAAGTATTTGATAATGATGAGTTAATAAAGTTAATAAAAACATCCAACACAGATATAATGATTTACACAATATCATCCTTTACAGTAGACAATGAATTATACTCAGCTATGAAAACACTAAACTTAAAAGGCTATAACATTTATCTTTATATTTTAGAAGATAACAATCCATGGTTTTTAGATTAATTCAAACTTATAAATAAATAAAATTAATTTTTAATAACAAAATGGGAGTGTCTACAGCAGATGAAATTTTTCATGAGGAAAATAACTCAGAATATTTACAACAGAGAGGTGGACAAGTAGTGGTTTATAAGTATTTAATTCTCAAAGCACCAGTAACATCATTAGATGTAGTTCCATTTGTTATTGTATTTGGATTGTATTGTTTAGCCATTCATTCAGTACTTGCCTTTATTAAGAAGATAAACAAGAACGTTCACTCATTCATTCAATTTATATTTGTGATTGTATTTCCACCAATTGTCATGATGATATCAGCTGATTACTTTTTTATAACGATGTGGATTGGTTTAATGATATTCTGTGGATATTGTTTAAGAATTAGTTTTAATAAACAGTTATTGAGATCTAACAATCCTAAGAAAATTTATAAAATGTTCAGACAGATCTTTATATACACAAATATTTGTATAGCAATTGGCCAAGTTATGACACTGCTTTCTGTGATATTCAAATTAGTTTTTGCCAGTTATAGCTTTAGATGGTTATTTTATTCATTATACTTTGCTGTATTTTGTAGGGAAGTTATGGGGTCGTTAAGTAAGATTATGGGTAGAACTACTGGTGTTATTGCTTCTACTCCTATGGGTGACCGTGAAGACAATCCTGATAAATGTATGATTTGTGTAGAATCTTTAATTGATTATCATGGTAAAATGTTTACTAATGGATGTGGTCATTCATATCATAATGAATGTCTCAAAGGATGGCTCATCATAGGAAATAATAATCATTGTATTAGTTGTAAGACAGGTATTAATATTGATCTTATTAAACCTGATTTATGGGATAAGACTGAGGTTGCTGTTAAACCTTTGATGAATTTCTTAAGATCTAGTATTTCATTCTTTGTTGTTATTTGCCTGTTCATTGTATTAAGATTGAGGTAAATAAATTATTTAAAAATTTTAAAATTGATTTGTTTTTAAGAAAGGAGTTTTATAAAAATAAACAATATTTAATCATTAAATAAAGTTTATTTAAAAAATTTTTTAGTTAAATTTATTACATAAAATGATTGATAAAAATTATTTGTTAGTTTACCCCTTTTAGAATATATAAATAAAAATTTAAATTAGGGGTATAAATGGTATCAATGAATACAAGTCAAAGTTCTAAAACTAAAACTGAATCTGAATGTGAATGTGATGAAAAGAGTTGTGATAATAAGAGTTGTGAATGTTCTGTTGTACAACCAGAAAAGTCAATGATAGAGAAGAAGCTTCTAAACATAGTACTAATACTCATCAAAGTAAGGGGACGACAATTAGTGGTTCAAGTAATAAATCCAATCAAGATTCAACAGCTATGAGTAAATCAAATAAAGATTCAACTACAACTGGTAAAACTTCAACAACTAAGAATTCAACATTAACTGGAGTTGATTTAAGTAATAAATCCAATCAAAATTCAGCAGCTATGAGTCAATCAAATAAAGATTCAACTACAACCGGTAAATCTTCAACTACTAAGAATTCAACTACAACCGGTAAATCTTCAACAAGAATAACTGATAAAGGAGATAATGTTAGTATTACTGAATCAGGAAATATTAGAACAATAGAAACATCATTAAGAAATACAGTACCAATAGAAGATATTCACTTAGAAAAACTTCCAAATGGATACACTTTAACAGTAACTCATCAACATAGTTCTAATTTAGAAACATCAACTTATAAGAGTAGTTTTAAATACTACAAAGAAGAGTTATTTGAAAAGAAAGTTCTTAAAGTTGAAGGTTCTTTCAATGAAGTTGGTAATTATCAGATTATCATCACCTTCGAAGAGTAAATAAAAACTCTTAAAAATTCGAAACTGATTTTATTCACCATTTTTTTACTTCTTTAAAATTTTTGAAAAAATCTTTTCAATATCCTCATTATTGATTCTACTTTCTTGTCCCAATGCTCTATCAGTGTTAGGAATGAAATAATCTCTAACATTGAGTATTTCATTAAAATGAATATTAAGATTTGTTAAACTTCTTTTCATTTTATCACTATCACTGTTATCAATAGAATCATCAATAAAAGGAATTAAAGCATATAGTAAAATATCATAAGATTCAACCGCCACCCTAAGATCATTATTATAATGATGTAATAGTCTTGTTCTTTCTTCCATCTCTTTTAAATAAATTGCCTTTTTTTCTCTGTGCCTTTTAGCTGCTTCCCTATTCTTCTCCCTTCTGATCTCAACATATGTTTTCATTAAATCATCCCTTTTAATTTCCCCTTCTCTTCTATACTGACTCTTTGTATCGGTATAGTTCATATAATTTACGTTATATGAACTGAGATTGGGTGTACTGTTAAACGGTCCATATCTATTAAATGAATTGTCATATGAAGTATAATTATAATAACTTGGATCACTAAATTGTGATTCTACTTTAGAAGTATAATTTTCAAATTTTAGTTCATTTGATAGTAATGCATTGGTATTATTGTCATTGTTATATGCTTGACTGAAAGTGTCTTGTGGTTCATTTCCTTTGTACTCATTCTTATTGTGCTGATCCATTTATTTCTTTGTTTTGATGGCTAAAAATAAGTGAAAAATAAACTTTACGTAATATACATAAATAAACATATAAATTGGTTTTGATTATAATTTACTATTATGCTTTTGATTGATTAAATGTAAATAAACTTTTTCTAATTGATACAAATATACAAATAAATAATTTTATTTACAAATATGTCTTTATTTATTTTTAAGATTAAAACTTCCCCCTTTGGTAATATTTGGTTTTTATTAATAAATTAATAAATTATTTGAGATAATTTATTAATTTATTAATTGAAAAATTTTACCTTAAAAAATTAATCAAATTTTGATTTGTAAAAGCTTTTTTTCATCAAATTCTTCTACCAATTGTTTTTATTTATTAAGGAGTAAATAAAACATTTTTGTTACATTCTCCTTTATTAAATGACTGTAGAATTATCTACTTCTCCGCCGCCTGTTGTTGATACTCCTATCAATGAAGATATTATTATTCATAAAGTTGCTTTTGTTGGTAGTATAAATTCTGGTAAAACTACTCTTATTAAACAAATATTAAAGCTTAATAGAACAGGTAGATTAGAATATTCTGGATTATCTAATAGTTCTCAAGTTAATAGAAAAGTTGCTTTACAGATGTCTGAGTATTCTGAGTTACCTGCTGATGATCTTGATACTGATGCTGTTGTTTTCTGTGTTTCTCATAAAAAATTAAGAGAAATTGTTAGAGATGGTACTTTTGAGGATAAATATATTGATGATGCTTTATATAGATTAAAGAAACAAAGACAAATTATTATTTTATGTGCTACAATGACTGATAGAGGTCCTATTTCTGATTATCTTGAAGGAATGAATTCTACCAGAAGAGAGGCAGATATTGTTGCTATTAAATACAGAATAAGTACTTTTTTATTAGTTAGTAAATACAGAAGGACAAGTATTAATGGATTAGTAAATGAAATTATTAGAGCTGCTGAAACTGATAAAGAAAGTATTGTTGAGGAGGTTTGTTGTCCTTGTTTATTTCCAAAGGGTTGTTTTTGATTAAATTAAATTACTTATTTTATTTTCTTAATTAAGAAATTGATTTTATTTATTTTAATAACGGGATTTGAACTGATAATTTTTTGAAAGTTAATTACCTAATTCTTATAAACAGTTTTTTAAAGAATTAGTTAATTAAAATTTAATATTAATAAACATTGTTATTTATAATTTTTCAAAGTCAAATTTCTCTAATTAATTAAAAAATCTTCTTGTAATTTTTAAGAAATTTTTTAAACAATAATTTTTAATAACTTTTATTCATTCTTCTTTTTCATTCTTTTCTTTGCTGTAGAAATACCTTCTTCCAATTCTTCTTTAGCATTGTTAGGACGAGCTGGTGGAGCTGCATTGCTGACTGATTTACGAGTGAATAGTTTAATTACTATAAGTATGAATAAAGCAAGCAATACTAATGGAAATAAACTATGTACTTTACTTAATTGATTGTACACACGCTTAAAATAATTAGTTAGTTTACTCAACATCTGATTCATTATTATCGGGGTTATAAATAAAAAATAAAAGAGGATTTTCAAAAATTAAAAAAAATCAAGAACTGTTAATTTTAATTTCCCATGCTATTACTGGATCCTTTATGATCAGTTTTAAAATCACTTTCATGATCATTTTGATTAGAAGGATTTAAAATTTCTTCATCTTTTTTATCTTCATTAACTTGCTGATTTCTACTAACGCCGTTTCCCATTATAATTATTTATTGTTGATATTTATTAAAAACAATTCAGTTTATTTGTTTCAGAGAAAATACATTAGTAATAAAGAAATAAACAGTTTTTGAAATTAATTTTGTTAATAAACTTTATTTAATTTTATATAAAATCAATTGTATGACATTTTATTATTATTTTGATTTAGTTAGAAAAATTTATCATTTTTTAATTAAAATAACTGTTTTAAAATTTTACTTATTAAATCTAAAATTCTAATAATTTAATTCATATTTTTAAAATTAATTTATAAAAAATTCTTGATCTTTTAATTAAGTAAATTATTTAATAATTAGACAAGTTTTTATTTTAAAAAAATATTTAAACTAATCAAAAAAAACTAACCAACTTTGTAATTAAAATCAATAATTTTATTCAATCAAATATGCATCTTCTGATAAAAAAGTCCATTCTTCATGCTGATTAAAATATTTTGAATCAATATCACAACTAGTAATTGAAATAAAGTAAGATGTAAGATTTTCTAGTTTTCCAAGTATATTGCTATATAAAAGATAAAGTTTTTTATTGCTTTCAAATTCTAATTTTTCAAAACATTTTTCACATTCTAGCACTAAAAGCTTAAATTTCAATCCATTGGTTTTTACTTGATCCATATCCACTTCTTTTCCTTCCTCATAAAAATGTTTTGCAGTAAAATACATTTCCTTCATAAAATTTACAAATTTACTAAATTGTATTATAAATTTTTTATGATCTTCATCTAAAGTGATACCATAAATTTCTTTCACATTATCACATTCTAAAGTCTCAATTATCATATCTTTTTTCAGTTTTATCGATTTAAAGCAAGATGCCAGAAAATAAGAGTCTGTAAACCATTTATATGACATATCATTAACTCTTTTAATTATACACTTTTGTAAAATAGAATTACGTAAATATTTTTTACAACTCACATATTTTTTTAAATATGAAATAAAATAAAATTGATCGTCATTTAAAAATTTTTTTAGATTAACATCAGATTGATTCATATTTACTAATTTTTTCTTTAAGCAAGTATATTGGTATTCTATAAAACTATTCAGTTGCTTATAAATGTAACACGATAAATCATTACTTAAAAGTGAAAAATTTTCATTTATATAGTAGGGTGGGTCCTCATATAATTTTTTTAAATAATTATGTAATATCATATAAAAAACAACTCTAATTTCAGATAAATCAATATCTTTGTGTTTATTATTAATACAATTCTTTAAATATTTAATTGTCTCTTGATTTTTTTGCTCATCGAGGTTTTTTAAATACATATTATATTTTTGTTTAAATTCCCTATTTCTTAAAAATCTAACATAAACATTAGGAATATACTTAAAAAGACCTTCTAAGTCATTAAAATTTTCTAAATCATATAAATAACCATTAGTATTTAATCCTAAAATACTTTCAGAAAATGCTTTGTTGTTGATTATGTTATATAATATTATGGGTGAAAAATATTTTTTTTATAAAAAAATTTTTCAATTTTATATGTTATTTTATAAAATTATTAAATGCTTGAATTAAATCTCATTAAAATTATTATTTAAATTAAAACATTCTAAAAATTGTTGAACATTTTTCTTATTTAGTTACATTGAAAATAAAAATATGTTCAATTAATTAATTTATTCTTCTAACTCTTTATAATATACTTTTCTAAAGCACTCAATA